GAAGCCTGTCGATCGACACGGGTTTAAATCATTCAAAGATGTTTGATTTCCGGTTTGTTTTGAGTTGGGCCGGTTTGGGGGACTTATATATACTTGGAGAAGGCGTTTCCTCCTAGGTTTAGCCGCATCCTTTTGTTTAGAATCAGAGAAAAGAGAGAGTTGAGAGAACTAGGGTTTTCCTCTTGAGTGTTGAGAAGATTTCGTCGGTTTTGGAGGAGGCAGACGGCTGGGAAGTTCAGAACGGATCGGTGGGAAACTTTGGKGGTAAGTTCTCCTTTCTTTCCTCTTGCCGTAGGCGAAAACCGCGTGTGTTTTGGTTGATTTTTCGCTGAGTTATGGCCATTTGTTTGTGTGAGGGTTCTGCAGTCTCGAGTCTACGATCAGTCCACGTCGAGGGAGGTTTCCCGTCGAACCAGAGAGAATCAGGAGACGTTTCAGATACCGTTGGAAAGCTCTCTCTGTGTAGTTTCTAGATCAGGTTTCGGATCCTGATTCGGAGGTAAACTCCGTTCTCTGTATTCGTTTGTTTTCAGGGTGTCGGTTCTGAATCTCTGTTTTTGCCAGTTTCGAATAGCGAGATTGCGGGCTGTTTTTCCGTCGATCCTGTAGGAGTTAGGGGACGTTCTATACACCGTTGGAAAGCTCTCAGTGTCTAGTTTCCAGAACAGGTCTCAGACTTGGTTTTGGTGGAGGGAGTCGCGAGATATTCTTCTCTGTTTGTGTCGGGTTCCTTAGTCTTCATTCAATCCGTTTGCAAAGGTGAGTGCGCGACCATAGGCTCTCGGATATAGGATTGTGTATGATGCGATTGTTTGCTGTGTGAATTTGGTGCTTTGAGTGGTTGATTGTGCAGGTGATCGATTAAGGTTCATGGAGATTCGGCCATGAGAGGATAGGCGATCTCCATCGAACAGAAGGTGTCCTGTCGATCGACAGGATTGCTTCCTGTCGATCGACACGGGGTCATCTGTGTCGCGCGACACCGAGGTGGTGTGTCGAGCGACACGCAGGCC